GGGTGTGAGAGAACTGAGGTGGGGATGTGAGAATTGGGGTGATGGGAGAATTGGGGTAGGGGTGTGAGAGCATTGGGGGGATGATAGAATTGGAGTGGGGGTGTGAGAGAATTGGGGGGACGGGAGAATTGGGGTGGGGGTACAGGAAGCGTGGGGACGGGAGAATTAGGATTGTGAAACAGTGGGAGACTCAGACACAATTGGGGATTGCAAGACAACGAGGGGGGCTCTGAGAGTCTTACTGGGGGGCTGTGAGGATCATTACAGGGGCTTTGAAAATTGTAATGGGGCTGTGAGAGAGGTACCAGGCTCCGTGAGAATTGTGATGAGGGGCTGTGGGAAATGTATGGGTGCTCTGGGAGTCGTGGTGGGGCTGTGAGAAAAGGGGCTGGGGGAGTTGGAACGGGGGAACTGTGAGAGACAGAACGGGTTGCACTGCAAGGGCAAGGTCCTGCTGACCCCCAAACCTACAGCTCCCCCTAATCCCATAAGGATTCCAAAATCCTGGGGCACCAGCCACCTTCATCCCCAGGTGAGCACACACCCAGCCGTGGCCAGTGGGCAGACAGGTAAAAAGTGAATTGAGGTGATGGCAGGGAGGGCCCCACGCTGCCCTGGTGTCCAATGGCTCCAAAGGCCAGAGCAGCAGGAAGCCTGAGTGGGGCTGCAGGGGGATCTCCAAACCCCCTTGGCTGCTCCGCGTGCTCCCCTCCACTGGCACAGGGACAATGTGGCACCCTGGGACACAGGGACAATGTGGCACCCTGGGACACAGGGACAATGTGGCACCCTGGCACACTCCCTCCACCCAAGCAGGGTGTCCCAAGTTCTATTTCCCCCAACAGAAGGGAGACCAGGCTGCCCCAAAAACCACACAGGAAAAACTCCCACTGTGGGAAGGATTCACCTTCCACTCCCCCACAGGGGCTGGCACAGCTCCTTAATTAACACAGGGTGAAGAAATTGCCCATTGCCAATATCACCCATCTCTAGTTGTCTGACATGTCACACCCCAGCTCTGCAACATACAACTAGATGTTTTTTAACCCACAAGATCTTTTCCACCAAAAATATGCCACTGCACTGATAAAGCACCTATTTCTATGTCCCAAAATGAAAATTAGATCCCATTGTGAGGTCAGGATAAAACACACACCCACAGCCAGGAGTGTTGGTGTTTAAAGCCTCCACCGCTTCCACCACAGAACAAACCTGTATTTCAGTATTTTCCATGGCCAAAGTCTCCTGATGACGTTTTGGTATTGATCAAGCCTGTGTTTTATTGGTCAGAGCTGCCTTTGCCACCCAGTCCAGCCGGACACCGCAATCTTCCGGCAACAAGTCCACCTTGCTACTGGTCAAAGTCACCGAGCTGTAGTGGCTTAACAAACATGCAAATCTCCTGATTTAATCACGTCTCTGACGCACACGGACTCCATCTGTGGTGGCCCCGAGCCTTATCCCCGGCTCCAGTGGCTGCAAGCCCATCCTTTGGCAGCCCCGTGCCTCAGTTTCCCCAGTGATGATGGGCTCTGCCAAACTGAGATCTACTGATTAATTAAAAACCCCGACGACTCCTTGCATGCAAACCATCTATTATTCAAAACCTGTGATGGAGCCACGTGCACACAAGAAAATGCGTTGCCAACACACTCCACCCGCACTTCCAGTGAGGAGCTGGGCTCAGCTTTCCATTTCTTTACCTGATGGGAAGCCCAAGGAGCAGTTTGTACCTGTCTCTACCTTTAAGGGGCTCTCCATTTCGGAGAGGAAAAACCCAAACCAGAAAACCACCAAAAAATCAAACAGCTCTTCCATGACAAAATCTCTTTCTCTGATGGGGTGCATTTGCTGCAGCTGCAATCCCAACTGCTCTTCCTCCCTGCTGGGGTGGCACCTCCAAGGGACACGAGGAAACCACAGCAGCTCCCAGGTGCTTCCAGGGAATCTCACACGGAGTCACTGCTGTCACCCGGCCATCGCACAGGACACGCAGGGGCTGGGAGCTGTCACAAACAAAGCCATCGACTCTGTTGACAGGAGAGGGCTGAGATGAGTGCCAGGAGGGCTCCATTTACACAACAGCCAGCTGGAAGAGCAGCAAAAAGCTCGGCTGGTGATGCAAAACAAAGCTCTGGACCATGGTGATACTCTTCAAATGCTTTGCAGGGAAGCTGTTCCTGGTTGCAACCACACCAGCGATGCTGCTGTAACCAGATCCCCCCAGCTCAGTCGAAGATTTTAAAGAACACAGACCCAGGCTGGAGAGCAGAGCAGGTACAACTCTGCCCTGAGCAGGTCAGAGGGGCTGTGATGAAGGACCAACACCATCCTTGTGTCTGCAGGACACGCATTTGTGCCAGCCCAGTGTCCTCCGTGAGAAACAGCATGAGGAGCACCCAAGGGTGAGACATGGCTGCACTGCCCTGTGTGCTGCCCTTCCCAGCGGCCAAACAGCTCAGGACAAGGGGAGCTGAGCTGCTCTCCATGACCCTCGGCCTTTGGGATACACACTGCAAGGAACAATTTAAATTACTCCTGGGAGGGTGTAGCTGAGAGTCGGCTATCTACAGACAACTCAGCCAGCCCCACAGTTAAAACATTTGGATGTTTCTTATCAGTGCTTGGAGAGGATTAAAGTGCCAGGCCATTTATTAGTGAGGGAGCAGGTTATAAACCCATCTCAGCTTGAACACCACGTTCATGTCAGGAAAAGCAAGGCAAGAACAGGACAGATCAAAAGAGAGCCATTAAAGGCGTGAGAAAATGGGGCTGCCATATAAGGAGCTAATAAAGTTAGCAGCTCTCCAGTTTGAAGGGGAAAAAAAAGGCAGGAGAAGCGGAAAACATCCTTGGGGTCCACACAGCAGCCTCTCTTTGAGGAGGAAAAACCAATAAATACAAGTGGGCAGACACAATGCTTCAAAAGGCAGGTTTATCCATTTTGAACGCGGCGCCTTTCCCGAGCGGCGGAGCTGCCACGCATCGCTGAGACCGCTCAGCAAACGTCCCAAAAAGCAAAGATTAGCTGCTGGACAAGGACAGCAAGCAGGACTTGTTGGCTCTGACCATCATTTCCTACCCTCAGGTCTGGCTCAGCAACATCTCTGTGTGGTGTGCTGGGAAAGGGGGACACTGCACTGCTCCCTGGCTACATCAGCTGGGATTCACGGGGATCTCAGTGGGAACATGAGGGTTCTCCCCACCACCAGTGCACAGCCGGTTCCTTTCTGTAAAAAAGCAGGAGGTTTCCCAGCAAAGAGCCCCAAGAAACACTCAGGGTGTTCCTTTGTTTGAGCCAGCCAGCTCCAGCCACCATCTTGTCAGGATAAAATGTATTTACAGGTCTTCCTTGCTCATTGATAGAATTTATTAAAAGAACGCTATGACAGCTGAATATCAAATTCCCAGCTAGGCTTTTATCTCCTTTTTAAGCCAGCCTGAATTATTGGCCTAATTTTATAGCTTACCCATTCTGCTTTATGCTCGTTTTCTCCAAGAAGGAATTGGTGCTGTTTGATATTTAGGCCCATTTGTTGCCAAGACAGAGGCTATGGGCTCAGGGGCTGAAAACAGTGGAGCACAGAGCTGGTTTCTGGAGCCTTAACAACACAAAGCACAGGATTTATATTAATAAACCTCTTGATTTCAGTTCTTTTTGAGGGTTAGAGCTCCAAATCTTCCTGATGAGATGACTTTGTGCAGAAAACTCCCTTCATGTTTTTGAAATGCAGCATTTAGTAATTTATTTTCTGACTCTCTTCCCTGTGGTGTTCTTATCCACGATGCCAGGGACAGGAGCTGCCACAAAATGCCGCCATTTTAGCCAGTGGTTTAACACAGCCACGTCCCACAGCCCAGGATACAGGGGCCCCTGGCCTTCAGTTGACATTGAACCCACTTTTATCTCTATATAAAAGCACATTTCTGTTTTTAAAATTCCTTCTAAAAAAAGAGGTTTCTTCAGCAGCAGAACCCAGTGTGATGGTTAAGCCATGTTATCAAAACCGACGTGACAACAAAGCATTTGCAAAAGAGTTACTCTTGCTTATGGTGTGGTAGAAAGAAATATTAAAAAGAATACCTTTTTATAGCCTGCTGGAAAAAATAAAAAATCACAGGAATATCACAGTGCCAGCTTCTGTCCTGCTTCCCCTTGCTCCCAAACTCCTGTGCCAGAGAGCTGTGTCTGCTCACCTCACAAGGGTTCTCCCCAAACACAGGGCTTTCATCACTAGACAGGACTGTGGCCATCCAGGCTGCAAAAGATCGCATTTTAAGGGAAAGCCAAAGAAAATAAACATAAAAAAGACAGTTCTATGTGATTTGATACCCAAACAGGACAACTGCAAAGGATGTAAATCCCCTAGGACTGGTTAGATCACAGAATCCTATACTTTGCCATTTTTAACACTTAATTGTTGTATTAAATCTACATCCAGATGTGATTTTTACCGGTGTGCAATGCCCAGGAGAAAAAAAAAAAATCTCAGAAATTACACTGGAAATGTTACAGGACAAGGCTTTAGCACCAGCCCCACAGTCCAAACCTGCAAGCTACAGGCTGCTCTCCCCACGTTCTGCATTGGATTGAGCAGCACAAAATAAACTCCAAGCCACCACCATCTGAGCTTTGGTTTCATCAAACACCATTTTGATACCACAGCAACATGAGGGTGTTTAAATGAAGGGGAGTGACCCCATGTCTGTGGAGTTACCACTCCTTCACTCCAGAGAAAGCACAAAGAGAAATATTTGTGCATCAACACCTGCTGTGCTCTACAGCCTCTCCTCCAACACGGCATGGGAGAAGTTCCTCATCTGCCTTTGGCTTTTATTTTCACCTCTGCAGATCTCACAGTGCAGCTTTTTAACTCCTTGGGCTAAGAGCAGAGCTTGAAAGACTGTGGTTTTCTCCTGAACAGAGGAGGAGTGGAGGTTTGTATCGCTTTTTGGCACTGGAAATTCAGGTTTTGTTTAGCTTGGAAATATCATGGATGTAGCTCGAGTAACTCTGCAGGGTGGTAAAAGTTCAGTGCTCACAAGGCAATTCTCAGTTTATGCTAAACTGCCAAAGGAAAGTAATTTGGAGTCCCACAGGGTGTGCCAGCCTGAAAAATGTGGAATCATCCCAACAGGCAGCTTCTTGCTCCTCCAAACCTCCCTGCCAGCAAAGGCCCATGAAGAGTACAAGGTGCATCTCCAAACCAGCACAGCCCCAATGAGGGAATAAAACCCAAACCCCTGTCCACACTGCCTTATTCCAAACAAGGCTTTGGGCACACTGTTCACACACCTACCACAGGGAGCAGGGTATGAAACCCGGCCTGGCCACCTCATCCCCACCCTGCACTTCATTTTGGCCAAAAACAAGGATAACACCATAGCTGTGCTAGAAATCCCTGCAGCAACCAGTCAAGTGAAATAATTTCTCCTGAGGGGCTTCTCCAGGGCCGGGTCAGGCAGCGGCATGCATGGAATCCCGATGTGATATCCTCATTTAACGACCCCCCAGCACTCCCTGTGTGCTAATGACTGCGGGAAGCTGCCTCTCCCAGCCGTGTGTGACCTGCAGAAACCAGCACCAGGTCTGTGGTTATCAGCTCTGCAACACAACAAAGGAAAGGACACTCGGTAAGGAAGCGTCTCCCTTCTTCCTGGCGCTCTGAGGAATGGAGGAATAACCCAGCTGCATCTCACAGGAGCAAGTTCACAGAGAAAACATAATGTAATTCAAGGAGACCCTGATCTTCATCAACACCATTTAAGATGTTCAACCCTCCCTCCAACCTGAGCAAAATTAGGAGGAATAGACTATCCCACGTAGGTCTGTGGGCTTGGAGGGAAAGGGGCCCCACAGTTTTGCTCCCTGGAGGCACCAGCTCTCCCCACCCCTTTTGTGTGTATTTTTTTTAACGTGCCACACATCAGCACAATGCTGACAAGGGCTTTGTATGTTTTCTGCCTATGCAGCAGTTCAAGACACACAACTCTGGATTTTTTGAAAGGGAAAGGGGGAGGGAGCTGCCCTTTGCTGTACTGTTTAATTGCACTGCTTGCTCTTCTGCATGACCACAGGGAAGGGAAAAAGCACCAAGGTTTAAAAACAGAACCATTTTTAGTAGCCAAAAGGGTCAAACTCAGTCTTCTCACAAGATACAGCAGAGGTCAGAATAAAACCTACCAGAGACAAGAAAAAAATTATAAATCACCAGGGTTTCTTCTCTGGAGTTGGATATGACCCCAGAAAACAGCTCATCCATCCTCACTTGCTGCTTTTACAGTCTCCACATTTGCACACCTGCCAATGCAGATTCCAGCACTGAAAAAAGAAAAGGAGGGAAAGGTCTGGAGAGCTGGACTGTGGGTTTTTCCACCTGCCAGGAGCAGCTCAAGGAAGGCCGGGTGGCTGAGCTCCAAGGAGCAGCGAGCAGAGCACGCTAGCAGCCTGCTGGAGTTCCCATCTCACACGCACATGCGTGATTGGGACAGCGCTGGCAAACAGCTTCCTGCAAAAATAAGGATGACTAATCCACAGCAGCGCTGCTTTATTTATTTATTTTAAAGGCCACAAGGCAGAGCTTTTTCCAGAAGCATCAGCCTTTGTGAAGCAGCAAGCAGTGGGAAGGGGAAGCCCTGGGACCCACTGATGCTCTGCAGACAGAAGTAACCACAGGAACACTGTGGGTTTGTGTGGCCCGTGTGTGACACACGCAGGCATGGCTGGAGCATTGTCCCTCATGTTTCTGGCAAGGCCAGATCCCACTGCCTGGGTGACTCCTGGATCCCCGTGGTGTTTGCAAGGATCTGCCGTGGAGAAGGATTTCATAAACAATACATTGCTTCCCTTGGAAAAACAAACAAACAAAACAGAGGAAAAAAGGAATGAAACAGCTTTAACCCACAACTGCAGCATCCCCCTGGGTGCTGTAAAAAAAAGGGTGCAGGGATTTGGGATCAAAGCAGAGCACCCGGATCGCTCGGTGGGCCCAGTCCCCCCAGCAAGGTCACTGTGGCCCGCAGGGAATGCACACATCAGTGCTCCAGTGCAAGGCCGTGCTGGAACCACTGCAGGAGGTCACTTAGGGACTGCAGAAAGGGAATGGATTTAAAAGAAAAAAAAAAAAAAAATCCATCAGCAGATGTTTACTGTCATGCAGCAAATCCACAGCTCTGCGTGGCTGGAGGGAGAACAGCCCAGTTCCCAGGACGCAGCAAATACTCTGCATGTACGGATTTAGGTTACAGCCTTCAGCCAGCCCCACACCCCACACCACCCACCCACCACCCCCAAACCAAATCTGTCATCTTTTTAAGCACTCAGAAATTGAGGTTTGCCACCGAGGTGATTTTGGGTGGTGGCACCATTAAATACTTACCCACCTCACAGCCAAGGGCTGCGCAATCTGAAATTTGTGAGTGTTTGCAAATGGTTTGGAAAGCTTTCCAAGGAAGGTGCTGTACGATTGTAAATCCTTCCCGTTATTAATAAAAGGGAGCTATTGTTCCAGCTCTAATCAAGCCGTGTCTCCAGCAGGGCAATTTTAAAATGCAATTCAAAACACATACAGGAAAAAAAAATAAAAGATCATGAGGAAGCTTCGGAAAAAAACAAAACAAAACAAAAACAATATCAAACAACAAAAACAAAACAGTGAAGGAGAAATGGGAGGGGGAAAGGAAAATGAAAAATAATACTCCTGCTATTTAAAATGAATTCCGAGCAGGAGCATGCTGGGGCGGAGGGGGAATCCCCTCTCCCACCGCCTGGGAAAGGTCACTTATGCCATCGGTGCCATGGCCACGCCGGAGCAGAGCTGCGGCGCTGCCAGCCCTGCCTCATCCATCTCCATCAGCGACAGCTCCGCTTTCCATTTATTTAGAGGAGAAAAAAAAGAAAAAAAAACACCCACCAAAAAAAAATCCCCCAAACCCCTCCAAGTTGCAAACACCTCCCAGCGCTCTGTTTTCAAGGCTGGGGAACGGAGCAAGGGGGAGCGGCTTGGAAAGAGGCTCCCAGCCAGGGAGAGGTGGCGCATCCTCCGCATCCTCCTCCTCCTGCCCGGCGCTGCGGCAAAGGCGCCGCAGTGGGGGCTCCCCGCCCCCGTGGAACCTTCTGGAACAAGCAGCCAAGCTGGAGAGAGGAGAGGAACCTTTACACCCGCAGAGCGGAGAGGAAAAAAAAACACCAAACCCGTGTAATAAAAGGGAGAGGATTGCACAAGGCCGGGGAAAAATGAGAGATCTCTGTAAAAGTGAAGCCCCCGAGCGGCTCCGGCAGCCCCGGCTCAGGGGGTGGTGCGGCCGCCTCGGCTCGAAACAAAACGCCCCAACAAAGCGTATTTAAAAAAAGAGAGAGAGGAAAAAAAATGGTGGTGGTTGTAGCGCGAGATGGTGGGATAAAGGAGCTGATCCCTCCTCCTGGATCTACAGCAAAGCCGGCCATTGCAGTTCCATTTATCCTTTTTTTGTGCAATGAATTGTCTGATCCGGACTATTGGGTTGCATTTGCAGCTTCACTTACTGCGGTTTGGTTCTGTTGTGCTTTTTTCCTTTTTGTTTCTTTTTCATTCTTTGTTTTGGTTTTGGTTTTTTTTTTTTCCTGGGTGTAATTTTTTTCCTTTTTTCCATTAAAAAATAATCCTTCCCAAATCTCCCAAGGAAAATCTACATCTCTGTGGAACAAATAAAACATTCAGGCATAAACTTCCAGCATGGACTGTAAAAAAAGAGATGGGTTGGTTTTTGTTATTTTTTCTTCTTTTATTTTTATTTTTGATGGCATTTTTTCTCCTGCTTTTAGGACACATTGTAGTAGGAAACGAAAGGAGGAAAACAAAGGTAATACATATATATATAAAATCAAAGATATATTGGGCCAAAGTTATAGTGATTATATATAATTAAATTATATTTTTTAGGTGTGTGGGCTTATTTTATATTTTAAGTAGTCCCTGGGAAAGGGTCATATGTATATAAAAATATGAAATATATAGCACTATTTATATATTTATATTTAATAAATATATACAAGTATTTCTGTATCTGTAGAAATAAAAGAGCATCTGTATGGGCCTAAATCTGCAATTCTATGGGAAAAAGCAGTATTTTTAGGTTCGTAGCTTTTAAGAATTAAGAGGCAATGTTATAGCCTGTAACAACACTGATGCAGGAAAAAAGGGTAAGGCAACATTAAAAGAATATTTAAAACAACAAAAAAATCCCAAACCAAAACAACAACAAAAAAAGGCATGGTACCTGGGCTACAGCCTCCAACAACCAGCGTGTGGATGTTACGGGATTTGGGTTTTTTTAATGGTATTACCACGTCTCATCACACCAATATATGATTTTAATTAAGCGAATGGCGGGCGAGCTGTCGTGGGGAGCAGGCGAGCAGCGATGGCTTCTTCCCATTCCACTCCGGCTGCGATGATAAATCAATCCTCCTGCGTTTGGGACTTTTTTTTGGTGGTGTGTTTTTTTTTTTTTTTTCCTTAAGCACTTTTGGGGATTTTCCATGCCGTGAGGAGACCGGGAGATGGCGGCTTCAACCCCTGCGAAGGAGAAAAGCGGTGGAAAAGCGAAGAATTAGGCATAAAACTACCCAGCTTTGGGGGGTGTGTGTGTGGTGATGATGAAGGGAGGGGTGGAGGGGGGGGGGCATGTGGAAAGCGCAATACAGGGCCAAAACCGCTCAGCTGTGAGGGAAAAAGAAATAATATTTTAGGGGTATAATTGGGGGAGCGGGGGCGAGCTGAGGTGAGGGAAAAAACCGGCGGCTCCGCCATGGCCGAATAAAAATGCGCATTTCTGGCCATTTTCACATCTTTTCGCAAAGGCGGCCAGGAGAAAAGGGCAGGAGGGAGGGGGGGATAAGAAGAAGGTCAGGTTTCACCCGCAGCGCTTTCGCCGCCCGCCCGGAGGGGATTCCCACAGCATCAGAGCCCTCCGCTGTGCCCACACCGCTCCTCGCCCGTCCTTCCCCCCGCTTTCCGCCCGCCGCCATTTTGTCGCCTCAGAGCCGCTCCCGCGGCCCCGCCGGGCGGCCATTTTGTGAAGCGAGCGCGGGGGGGCAGCGCCTGAGGGGCCGTGAGGGGCAGCCCCGGCCGGCGCCGCCTTTTGTCACCCAAAACCTTCCTTTTCCTCTTCGTTTTATCTTTTTTTTTCTTCAGGAGTTTCTCTTTTTCCTCACGAATCCCTTCGTGCTTAACTCCCCGCCTAGAGCCCCATCGCCTCAGCAAAAAAACAAACAAACAATAAAATAAAAAGCAACATACTCAGATGAAGCAATCCAATAAATGAGATTAAAGCATATTCCCCAGCCTGGCTGTGAGGGAAAGTTTAGCAGCACGGAGAATTAAAGTATATATTATTATATACATATTTATTCCCCTTCCTTCTCCACTTTTTTTCCCCCAGTGATAAATTCCAGACATCAATAATCCTCCTTGACAAAGGGGATAACCTCTTCGAAAAATATCCACGTTTTTATTTCAGTAAAACATCTCGCTCACACTGCTTTACTGGACATTTCATCAAAATAAAGATATAACTTTAACCACTCAAAGCCAAATCTGGGTGAAAATTGGTAATTTTCAGGAAATAGGGCTGCAGGATGCTGTAATCACTGATACGATGAAGGAAATCTGGAATATGAAATAGCAAAACCCTGCTCGCAGGTGTGTGCTGTGTGTCTGTTCACAGAAATAGGGTGGGTTGGGCTTTTTATCCTTTATTTCATAAAGAAGCCAGTATAGCACTGGGAGCCTGGTAACGCGCTTGCGCACTCGCCGCATCCCTTTCCCCTCATGCTATCAAAATCAATGTGTTTTAAAACTACGTTGTGGCAGTGGGTGGTTCAGTTTTGCCAGGAAAACCGAGGATAAATTAGAATATTAGCATACAGCTTTTTTTTCTTTCTTTTTTTTTTTTTTTTTAATACATATCTCACCTGTGCTGCATCAGGAGAAATCCACGCTTGGGCTGTTCCTTGTATAATCCCAGCTGGTGTTCACCTCTCCCAGAATCAGCAGGATCCAACCACTTGTCATTTAAGAAATAAAATTTTTTTTAGGCTGTGTCAAAGGAATGCGTAGAAAATAGGTCTGAATGCTCTGAGGGGAAGAACAACGCTGCAGGGAGCTGGCTGGGATGGCACTGCCAGTAAAAGGAAAAAACACCTCAGTTGTCCTACAGCTCTATCTTATTGGAGAAAAAACCTGCAGCACCCAGCCTTGCTCCCAGCACCTTTTCCAGCCCCTTTATCATCCCACTATCCTTGCACCACACTACAAATCTTCCATTTTCCAAAGAAACCTGCAAAAAGGTTGTTGTTTTTTTTTCCCCCACGAAGCAACACTTTAACCACTGATTCAAAACCACTACAAGCTGTGCCTGGCAGCTCCTCCTTCAATTTAAAACCTCTTTTTAAAAACCAGGCAGTCCTTTGAGTTGTAAAAAGATAACCTTTAGGGTTTTTTTATGGGACACACGGTTGTATTCCTGGGAGCAAGTTGGCCTCGCAGCAGAGCGAGAGATCAGATGCCTTCGCTGGGAAAGCCCAAGGAAATTTTATCCGCGGGCCGCACCCAGCCTGAAGTGAGGAAATATTTGCATTTGCTGCTCCTTGGAAGGCAGCCAGGTCCTTCCCGCTCTCCCCAGCCTGCCAAGAGGGATTGCAAGAGCTGATTGCAGCAGCCAAGGGAAGGGCTGGAGCCATCCGGAGCGCTGCCATCCTCTCTGCCCTTTGCCACTGCCACAGGGACAAGAGGAGGCACTTTGGAGTGGGGTTTACACCCGGGTGGTCCAAGGTGGGCCCGGCCCCCCAAAATGTTATTTTCCAAGGCAGGATGTGTGGTTGGTTTATTTCTGCAGACCTGGGTGCTTGCAGAAGTGCTTGTGACGGGGTGAGGAGCCCAAGGACAGGCTGAGCCCCTGCTGCCAGTGTGGGTTTGCTCGGCAGCGGGACAGGATCCAGCTCCTGCAGGATCCCCTGCATGCGGCTCAGAATTCCTCGAGCTCCTCCCAAGGGAAAACACGGGGCTGTGCTTTTCAGGCACAATGTTCCCCACGCCTCAGCTCGTAGTGCTTCTCCCTTTATCTGGGAAGAAGATGCCTTAAATCAGCCTTTTTGTCCTCTTACCTGTGTCCATGTATCGCTGTCCCTTGTCACCCTCCACTCCTGAAATACCATGTCAAATCTGACCACACCACATCCCTTCACTATGCTGCCAAACAATCCAGCAGTGCCTTTCCTTTCTCCTTGCTTTCCAGGACCTTCTCCAAGGCTGCCTGTAAATAAAAGCATTTCCCTGCCTGTCTCCAGCCAAAAATTCTGCAGTCCCAGTGCCAACAGCCCATCCTGGAAGGCTCCAAGGGGGAAATACCCAACTCCTTCCCACCATTCCTCAGTGGAAGGGTAGTGCAACTTGGAATAACACATCCAAAACACCACTCAGCATTGTACTTCCATCCTCCTCAAAAACCTTGAGTGGAAAAATATCTGTATTACAAAAAGCAAGCAGCTCTTTGCCCTCCGGGCCTTCTTTTTCCTGCTCCCTTTGGCCACTGCCACATCCTTTTACTTTTTAGCATCATTTTGATGCCAGATTTTCCTCACAGCACAAAAAGCTTTGGAAAGTGAGAGCGGACTTGGAGCACAGGAATTCCTTGGCATGGGACAAGGAGTTCCCACCCAACCGGACCCAAAGCCACCAACTTACGTGACCAGGACCAAAGCACAACTTATTTATAAATAGCTTTAAAGCAAGTTGTGACCTGATTGATGGCCTGGAGATGCTCATTAACAAACACTGAGTAATCAGCTTTGTAGACAGGGAAGAGTCATCAGGAAATAGTTATTGATGTGATTAATTAACCATCATTAACCCCTTCACTCATAAACACAGCACGCGCCGGAGATGTTGTATGCGATCCAGGAGCTGCTGGTCTGGTGGTTGCTTTCTTTGTTTACAGCTCCCATTTTCCATCAGGAAAGCATTAAACATCATCTCACACGCTCTTGCTATTTTCTGCTCTTGATTTGTGGCTTTCGGTTAAAAAGAAAGTTTAAAAGTTTCTCCGCCTGGTTTGCAACGCCCTCGCAAACAAAACCACTAAGCACCGGCAACATCGGTTGTGCAGATGTTGGGCACGCAGAGAAATGGTCTAATTTCTGCTGGTTTGGGGCCTGGACTGAGAGGAGATCAAAAAGCTTCCACTGGCAGAGCGATATAATCTTGTATAATACGCAGAAAGGGGGCTGTCCGTCTTTCCCAGCGTTCCAGCCCTGCGGGATGCTTTTAGCTGGAGTTTCTGCCTGGTGGAGGAATCTGTGCTCCGGCTGCCCTCTGCCGGCTCCGGGATAGATAGTCAGCAAAAAAAAAACCCCAACCACACCAAAACCCCTTTTATCAACACCACGAAACACTGCCAGATGCCATATCCACCCCAAAAAACAACACTCGGCTCTCCCCTCGGTGACAGCAGCATCTGCCACATTGCTACACCCTAAAATCAACTTTTGTGGACCTTAGTTATGGACCAACTCTCACCACGCCTAGAAAATCCAAAACCGGCTTTTTTTCCTTATTTTTAAACTTGGATTTGATAGGTTTGGAATGCAGGGTGGATGAAAGGAATGAGAGTTTTTAAACTTGGGGTTTTATTTAACTGCGAGTAACTAAATCAGTGCCCGCTCTCCACAGAGAGAAACATTTCAGTGAAACACCAAGGAAGCTTCAGAAGAAAGAAACACCACCCAAGAAAACCAAACTGGCCTTTGGAAAAAGGATTTAAAAAAAAAAAGAAAGAAAGAACAAACCCTCCATTCCTCATTGCTGCTCTGTCAGGGCATTTTAGATTTATCATGAGCGCAGAGCTGTGTCGGGGCATATCCACAATTCTCCACCCTGCCAACCCACTGGGTCAGGGACCTGGGGACATTTTGGTGATGAAAACCCAGTTCTGCAGTAATTCAGTAATTTGGGGGTGCAGCAGGCACCCAGAGTCAACCATGGGGTGCATCCCACTGTGGGCACCCCCCGTTTTGGTGCCTGGCACTGGAAGGGGATGGTGAGCTGCAGGGTCTCAGCAGGACGACTCGTTGCGCCAGTGGATGTGGCAGGACTTGCAGAGGAGGTGGTCATCCAGGGGGTAGCACCCATTCTCTGTCAGCTCCGGTGACAGGGGCATCCTGCAGCTCTGGGGGCAAGAAGGGAAAAGGAAACCACCTTTTAGGGGTCCCTGTGTCTGTTACATCCTGTTTTCTCCACAAAACCCACCAGCACTCTGAAAAAGCGACAAACTACATCAAAAGCATGCAAAGCTGAAGAAGTTCTCCAAACACCACCCAATTTACTTAATTTCCCCCTTCCCATTTACCTGTAAGATAAATGGGGGGCTAAAAACCAGCTGTGGGTGCTGCCATCCCAGCGTCCATGCTCAGCTAAGGTTCAGTTCCACCCCTTGGCTCTGGGGGCCCCCCATTCCCCGGGGCCGTACCTCGCAGCGGTAGCAGCTCTCGTGGAAGCTGCGTCCCAAGCACTCGATCTTGTAGGTGTCCTCGTCCTCGTGGGGGACAATGGGGCGCTGGCAGGCGCTGCACACCACAGCGTATTTCCTGACAGGAGCCAACAGGGTGGAGTGAGCCCTGTGAGGCAACGGGGACGAGCCAAACCCAGCTCCCAGTGTGGGACACCCTCCCCCATGGCCAACCTGTAGTAGTCAGGCACGCAGTACACGTCACCCTGCTCGTCCAAGGCGAAGCTCTCCGTGCCGATGGCCCGGCCACAGGCAGCGCAGGAGAAGCAGCTGGGGTGGTAACCCTTGCCCAGGGCACGGACAATGTGCTCCGTGATCAGCCCCTGGCACTTGGCACATTTCTCCAGCGTGGCCTGGAATTTAGGGAACACATTCTGTGAGACAGCAGCCCACGCCCCGAGGGATGTTCCGAGGGTGCCGGTTTCCCCGAAGGAGGATGGTACCTGGAAGCAGGTGTCACACGTGGGGCACCCGTCTCTCTGGAAGTAGCGCTGCCCAGCCAGGAGCCGGCGGCACGTGCGGCAGGTGAAGCAGTCAGGGTGGTACTGCTTCCTCATCGCCTCCACCGTCGGCTCCCGCGGCCCCAGCGCCTTGTGGCAGAAGGCACAGATGTCTGCAAGAAGCAGGGAGAGCGGCTGGGAGCTGTGTGCCTCAGTTTCCCTCAGTGGGGATGAGCCCACGCACAGCTGGGTCTCCCTTACCTCTGGAGCTGTCCCTCTCCGGGTCCCCATTCACATCCTGCCACTGCTGCTTGCCTGCTTGCTCCTGGGAAAATGTGGGTGGCTTCAGTTCAGCAGGGAAGGTGGAAGGGGCCTGGCAAGCGGGAAAGGGCAAAGCCATGTTAGTTATACCCTGCAGGTGGGGAAACTGAGGCACTGGGGGGACTGCACTCTGTTCTCCTCACCTGGAGGGTGGCAGGTGCTGCAAGGTCCAGCTGCTGCAGTGCCAGACCCAGCGGCTCCACGGACAAGGGCTGGGGCACTTCAGAGAGGGGCAGGACTGGTGGGGATGCAGGTACAGGGGCCACCGTGTGGGTTTCTGCAGCAAAGACAGATGTGGGGGTTTAGGGGATCAATAATGTCCAGTAACACCCTATCAGAATAATGCCCTGTCCCAACAACACCCCAACAGCTTTGCAGCAGCACTCGCTGACCTGCCCCAAAAGCAAACGCCATCGAAGCAGGAGGGACAAACAGCACTGATAAGCACCCGGCAGTGGAGAGCAAACAGAGCCCGTCCCCAGGAGCCGGATCCATGCTGGGATGTGTGCAAGGATTTGGGGAAGAGCCCCCCATAAAATACCCCCACATCCCCTTCTGCACGCACAACCTTCAGCAAAGCATCTCCACAGCCTCCTCAGCCCCATCGCCATCCCTCCCCACCGCTCCAGCCCCCATGGACGCCCCTCACCTCCGTTGGGTAACTGGGGGGGTGACAGCAGGATCTGGGGCTGCTGGGTGCCGGGGACCTCGGCACCGCCTGCCTGCGGCTCCCGCTGGGTTTTCTCCTTGGTGGCCACGTCCCTCCGTGGTGGCACGAGGGTGATGAAGATGGATGAAGCGATTCTTTTCTCTGCTTTCCCTGGCGACATCGCTGAAGCCATGGAAGGGCCGGATCGGGGGTTGATTCTAGGGAAAATAAGAAAGAAAGAGAGTAAAACTCGCAGGCACACTGGCAGCTCCTGCAGCCCTGCTGCCCTTCGGCATCAACTCGCTCCCTCCTCCCGGAAAGGGAGAAGGAACGAGTGTCCCCTCCCACGTCACAGCAATAAATGGTCTCATGCCTGGGAGGACACAGGGTACAGAGTCCTGGCGAGGCAGCAGCTGATAGCGTCCATTTTCACACCTCTGTGGCCAAATCCCACCTTTTCATCAGTATTTGCATCCCCTGTATTTCCTCTTATTGCTCCCACCCACCTGGGACTAAACTCCCCATGGGCAGAAGGAAGTACCCACCTTTCCTTTTAAAAAACAGAGCTGCTATAGGATTTTGCTTTTGCAACCCCTTTTTTGAAATCTTTCTATATCCCCACTCCCTCTCTCCTTACCCCCAATTCCCTGCCAATCACTTCCAGCCCTGCACATCCCCCCTTTTATTTATCCAGGTGGGAAAACTGAGGTGCAGTGCTGGGAATTACCACGTCCCTGACACTGTCACATCCCTGAGCAGCACCCGGCAGCACAGGCAGGATGCACCCGACCCCGAGAAACCCTGCTCAGGAAGGAAAAGGGCTGTTTGTCCAACTTCCCCAGGAGAAAAGCAGCTGGGGCGAAGCTTCCCCTTCCCAAATGGAACAGATTGCGGGGTGGAACCCTGAGGCTTTAGTCAGGGTGCTGTGCTGGTGAAGCAGAATTCATCCCTCAGGTGAATCAGCAGTTTGAAAAATACCTGTGTGATGAGTTCCCGGTCTCATGCGGCTCTGCTGCCCCAAAATCCCACTCACGGGGGATCAGCACATTCTTTGTGGGGCAGACAGACTCCCCGAGGTGGGTGAAAAGCTTCGCGATGTTCCTGCCGGTGACTTCAGCCTCTGACTCAAGCAGGGAAGGGATTAAAGAGGAAAAAGCACCCGGAGCACTGGGCTCCCTCTTTCCCTCCCTCCCCGCCGGCTGCCGGCGCTACCGGCCTTGCCCAGCTCCTCACCCGCCGCTTTTCCTCCTCCCCAGCAGAGCTGCGGAAAACTGAGGGGGGAAAGAAAAGAACAATCATAAA